ATATACAAGAATAGAAGGCGCCTAGCAAATACTGGATTATTCAACATGTTCCCCGGGCTTTCTAGAACTCATTACGTGTTACCAGGGTCACGTGACTTCCGCTGTCGTAACAACTTCTTATCATAACATAGCTTTATCGAATCAGCAGATGTTTTCAAGTTTGAATGCACTTGATGGTAAATATTATCCATCTTTTCCGATAACACTTTCACAAATTCTGACACATTTTCAGGCAACTCTTCGTAAGGTGGGCGTCCTGTTTACTGATCCACTGGCAACCAAAGTTCCCGACCAAACATCAGCGTTGCTGGAGTGTATCCAGTGGTTTCATGCTCTGCTGTCCTATATGCCATCAACAGTGGAGGGAGTAAGACATCCCAGTCATCTTGGCAGCTATTACAAAACTTTGCCAATTCCTGTCCCAGTGTCCAATTGTACTTTTCTACCATCCCATTAGACTGTGGGTGAAGTGGCATTGTTCTGGTCTTTCTTATGCCAAACAACTTACAGTATTCATGGAACACAGCTGATTCAAAGTTACGGCCTTCATCCGAATGCAATTTGTATGGCATACCAAACCTGAAGAAGAAATCACTAATAGTCGAAGCTACAGTTGTAGCTTCCTGATTCGGTATTGCATGTGCCTCAGGCCACTTGGTGAAATAATCCATCACCACACAAATGTACCTGTTTCCAGCACGAGTTTGGGGCAAAGGACCAGCAATGTCAATGGCTACTGTTTTCATTGGTGCACCAACTTGATATAACTTCACTGGAGCACGTCCCTTATGCTTGGGTCCCTTTTTAGCACACCATGTATTGCAGGTCCTGCACCATTCTTCCACATCTTGTCTCATACCTATCCAGTAAAATCTATTTGAAGACACACAAACAAATCTTTAAAACCATTGAATTTGTAGAAATGAAGTCATAAAATAAACTTTGTGGTGTGTGTTACACAATGCATAAACCTATACATAGTATGTCAAAAATGATGAATGGGGGCTTGTAAACAGATTGTACATTGGCTAGCCAAAAACTTGATTTAAGTCATATCATTGGGCATAAAAACAGACAATATGTTGTCTTGACAACAGTTTGCTATATGTTATATCACTGGGTGTGGCTAGAGCAAAAGAATGTGTGCTGCAACAGTATATGATAATAGTGATATGTATGATGTATCAATTATGCCATAACATGACGTGGGCAGGTTACTAATGGTATGTATCTGTCAATCACAGTATTTGGTTGTTGACCTTGCCTTGGCACAGGTTTCATGCAGTCTCAGATTACCAGGTAAAGTAATAATTTGATAACAGTTGCTCACATTTTGTTAACAATGGGAAGGTGGGGTGGTGCAAAAGGTCAATTCACAGGTACGATTTTTAATTCTTTTTCATTAATTATTAACTACATAATTGAACTTGCTGTATAAATCCACTAATTTTTTACTGTGAAATTGAATGGTATGTGAATTTTTTATTATTGTTTATAAATCACCAAAACCTCCTACTTTTAAATTTAATTCTCTATACCTACACACACCACCACTACCATATGCTAAATTTTAACAGTTATACCTGCAGCTATATGAAGCCATTGTTCAGTTATTTCTTTATACAAGTTGGGCTTTACTTAAAATACTATGAATAGTTTTTGTCACCCTATTTTAACCCTTTCACTGCAACTGAGACATAGATTTCCTAGTTCTCCCTCTCACTGTGACTGGGCATTTTTTCAGATTTTTCATCATCAGTGTTTAGGTCTTATGACTGGGACAAATGTTTTCCATTGTTACTCAAACTTGCCACATGTGATATATAGGAGTAATATGAGTTGGAAAGTAGTCATTGGCCTCCCACCTAATGTTGATGCATGGTTTCCCTCAATGTTTTCTACTCAGCCCTTCAGTAACCAACAAGATCCCCAAGTGGAATGTACAACAACTGCATACTGACTGTGTCCGCATCGCTAATGGCAAGTAGTAACCCTAACTAATATGTAAATATGCTCGATGCACTTAGAATATAGTGAAAGTGAGTCGAGTGGTGTTCAAATGCATGATGCTGATGAGGCAGTGAGACAAGAGGATGTTAGCTCTCCATATAGTAATGATAGTTAATATGATGAACCTGGACCAAGTAGAGGAAGGTGTAGGTGTAGGAAGAGCATCAAAAATGGGAAACATTTGTTCCAGTTGCAGTGTGAGGGGTGGGAGCACTGGGAAGTACATGTTCCAGAGGCAAGGAATGGGTTAAGAAAGGAAAAATTCAGAGGAGAGCTATTGGGATGATTCTTTAGATGGAAAAGTTATTGGATAGGAATAGGTTAAGATCTGTTTTTGTTTTTTCAAGAAAGTTGAGTAAAGGGTGATCTTAGTAAAGCTTATAAGATTTTCCTGGGATAAAGGCATTTGATTGCTTTGTACTAGATTCTGGAGGATGAGGGAATGAAAGTTTAAGGTTTGGAAAGACAGGCTAGGCTCTAGTTGGAACAGTTTTATTTGCTAACAGCATGGTTGACTTATGGAATGAGTTGCCATTGGAAGTATTGAAAGACAGCAATTTACAAGAGTTTAAGGAGGGAATCAGCAATTTCCTAAAATACAAAGGTGTGGGTGTAAGGATGGCCTTTCAAGACTAATGTTTTTTGTTGCTTATATGTTAATAGTGTAATGCTCATTTCTTTAATAACATAT